AGTTTTCCATTGAAGGATAGGGAATAGTTGTGATAGTTATGTGTATATAGGTATTAAATATATATATATATATTATATATATTCAAATCATACTTCACATATCCATATTTATAAGTATGCCATGCCAAAAATATAAAACAGAATAAGTAACTCAGGTGAAAATAAATTCATGAAAAAATAACATATTAGTCGGAACCCCTGCAGAGGTCTGTAATTCATAGCTAATTAGTCAATCTAGCCGGAGTCACCACAAGTGACCTATACGGCACTACACTGCACACGAGTAGGAACCATTGTAAGGATCTGTACGACAAGATTGGGTGTAATATAGTTATGCTCAATGCTACGCTCTCATGGTAGCTATGCGATAAATCGCTAGTCACCTACGAGTCGAAACCACCTATAATGGTTTGTACGACAAGATTGTGCACCTAAATTGGATCCAATGTGAGCATATGGTGCGGGAGGTGACATCATAAACAGGCATGTACCATATCTCTGGCTAAATCACAATCACCCGGGGTGCAGGTTTATGAGCTCTCAATCACGTCTCCCATTATCAATATCTCATACAATAAAACATAACTCACTTGGTACTTACCTGAGCGTCCACAACACCAATTCATATTATACATCATATACTAATTCATATGCTGAATATAAATTTATATGCATGACATTTCAAAGCATACTTTCATTTAAACACATTTTCTGAGAAAATATCAAGTATATAAATATATATTGAAAACCAAAAGCCCACTCAATGGTATGTCGAAGGGTCGTAGCCCCCGAGTCGCCCTTGACTGCGCTCGTCCTCGGGATAGATCTCACCTATATGCGAAATAACTGAATAAACGTTATTTAAAGCACATAGACAAAACTAGTTAATAACTTCTCATACATTGCTCAAATGGGATGTTTGAATATACCAACGTGATCTACACAACCTCATGAACATCCCTATATTTTTAGAAAAAATTTCCGACGCCCCACGCGCCGCCACGCTTCGGTAAGGGTACGGCCAGACGCGCCTCCACGCGCTGGTAACCCTGACGGAATCCTAATTGCTGTTAGGAATATTCCGTTAAAAAGAAACATAAACCGTTAAATCTACCTGACGGCGTCAGAATATTCCGTCAACTTTGACGAAATATTCTATCTTCTTCTCCGATTAGCTTAGTCGGTCGCCGTTGCCATCGCTGTCCGCCGGAAACTGGAAAAATATGTAAAACCTCATATCTCTCTCATTATTGCACCAAATTCCACAAAATCTTCACCAAAATGAAGCTTACAACATAAGAAACAAAACCTTACCAATTTTGGGACTTGAAATCCTCGAGAATTTGCCGGAGATCCTTCGATAATCCGGCCAAACTTTGAACTCGTCGATCTCGACTTCCCGACGTCCAATTCACCTCGTTTTTCTTCTCCGAGCTTCGTGGAGAAGTCCTAAAGCTTCCTAGAAGCTCAAAAACCACTGAAACCTTCACATTTACGTGTGCATGAACAGTGCACGAAAACTGAGTATCTCGGGTTCTCGGGTTTCGAAGGTTTCACAACCAAAAAAGGGTATGGTTGAGTTCACCATAACGTGATGTTCCAATTCAATAATGTATTATGATGCGAAGAAAGATAAACACAAGTCATTATATTATTGGACTGAAACGATAAGCCATTCCCTAGAAATGAGAAATTAACATAGCAAGGAATGCTGCATAGAAGAAGCGGGGCCTCTAAATCCTTATGCCTAGTACATAGTATACCTACCAAACCAACCGATCACAACAGGCTGTTTTAAATGCTATGACTAGAAAACAAGCAAAACATAGGCAGAGTATACTTTGTATACGGAGGAAATGGTGCTTACCCAATTAATTGTGTGTGGGTGACTAATCACTAATCATACTTAGTATGATGTAGAGAGCTTAGGATGTGCGTGTGTGTGTGTGTGTGTACACAAATGTACTCGAGCTTCACACCGACCCAGACACTGAACCAGAGGCAAAGAGCCGTGAAGACCTACCTGTGCTCTTCTTAGAGGTACACTTCTCATTCTTTTTACCTACTAAGTTTTACCATCTGTTATTGTCTTCTTATTTTCTGTTCATGTGTTGTGCAATTGACTACTCGTCATTCACAAAGACTCCAAAGGAATTTGCACAAGAGTTGGCAAAGGAGGCGCATTGGGATAATGGGTTTAACTTGGTCTTGGCAGATATTCCTTCCCAAACCCGATTTACCTCTCCAACGGGCCAAAAGGAGAAGCGACTCTTATTCAAGAGGTTTCTCCAGGCATGTGGAAGGAACACACTGTGAACTATCAAATTCAGAAGCTGAATTGGTTGAAGGAGATATGGAATCCATAAATACAGCTCAATTATTTTACTTGTATGTATGCATTTCTGAGGATGATGCAGAAGCCAGGCACAGAACAATAAAATACAAAACCCGGTGCCGTTTATTTACAGCACAAAAACATTATCACTTCTATTATTTATAAAGAATGACATAGAGAGAATGAAGCGTGAAAGAAAACGTATGAAAATAAAAACCCCACTCAAGGTGGGCAGAAAGAACTTTTATTCTATATGAGAGCATCAGTCATAAATAATTGCAAATTACAACAGGCAAGCTGGAATTTTAAAAGCCTAACCTTTTTCTTCCTCTAATTGCAACAACTGAGACTTTGTTTCTTCATCTAGCTTCAGTCCTGCGATATCGACCTCCTTGCATGCACTAGTACTCTTTTTCCAGGCTCCCAAAAACCATGTAAACTTTAATCAATCCCAACTACAGAGAATCTTGCCTCCTTGGGAGATCATTTGAGCAATGACAAAGCTTTACTGCCACGCCATAGGCTGGAAAGTCACAGAGTTTTGTATATGATGACATGTGAATCATGCCCAGATTGTGTAAACCAGTCAGAAACACTCTACAACTTCACCTCAAGCCTGATGCACATTCCATAATAAAATAATCTGCCCTTATTAGGGCGTTTCATGCATCAGGTTAAGGCTTCATATAGCATCATTCATACCCTTGAAGAGATTGTAACACATTAAAATTATGTTAGAGAGCTTTCATCTGATCTTTCAAGTGGCTCTCCAATATTTTTTTCCCACAGTTCTCTCACTATGTTATCATAAACAGCAGTTGAAAGAACTCTTTGTCCCATACTTTTTATGCATAAATGTCTCAATCAATAAATCATCCCAATCCCCCTGTCCCTTTTATCATATTCTTCTCTTGCTCACATCTACCTTCTTTTAGTCAGTATCCAGTTCTATTGTCAGAAAATTGACCAAGGGTCTAAGGCACAAGCTAAAACAATGGTTATGAACTAGTATAGATTACAGAAAAACAACATGAATTCTTCAGTACCCAAACCAAGCACTCACCTGCACGTGACTAAGTGTAGGATGAACCCAGTGGTTGGCTGAGATTAAAATAAGCGTTAATTATGCCAGTGCTTCTTCGTTATCAATGTCTCTCCAAATACTAAGAGCTTAACGCAACAAAAGTCACAGAAGCTCAGCCGAACACAATACCGGTAAGAAAATTGTCTGCAACAGAATCTGTAGTGATCTCCACTATTAGAAGACATAAAGTTGAGAGTAGAATTAAAAACCCAAGGGTGGTCCTTGTACAGGTTCTAATAAGCAATGATACAATCGTATCTAGCTCTTGATGATCTTAAAATTGCAGAGGAAGTACAAAAGGGATGCACTGGGAAAAAAAAACAAAAAGAAAGAACCAAAGAATACCCAACTCAACAACAACAAAAATTGTTGGAAGACTCATTAATTAAACCCAAAATTTTAAAATAACAGCAGCCAAAACCATCTTTTACCCTTTCTCCCCCTCTCAACATAGTGGAAAGGGTAAATTTTGAAACTCCCTTCCCTGATTTCCTACATCTTCAACAATCAAATAAACAGTGAGAACCCACTAAACTCACACAAGCTCACGACTCAAAACTCACCTCACTTAAAAGGTTAAACGCAGATAAAAGAAAAATGAAATCAAGAATAATGATAAAAATGGTGGTTGCAAAGGCCACAAAGTGGAGAATTATGAAGAATGAGATGAGCCAGCGTTCACCTTTGATGTTAACAAATGAATAATAGCAGCAATGCTATAAAAGATAAAGGCGTAATAGTAGCATCATCTGAACTAACACTCACTGGTGCAAACACGCACAGATCACACATATAATTATTATGAACAGATGTGCAAAGGATAGAGCATCAGCTAATAACTTGTCAACAATTGAACTTTCATAAAGTTCAGAGATCAAGTGTGAACCATCATCTGCCCTAGCACACACAAGCACAAATACACACTCATGCTCACACAAAGGAATGTAGCATATGTACAAAAAAATTGAGGATCGGTAAATAGCTTGTCAACAATTAAACTTACCAGAAGTTCAGAGATCAAGAGTAAAACATCATGTACACCACACACATATGCATGCAGAAATACGTACTCATTTGCAAACATAGAGCATCAGTTACTAACTAGTCAACACTTTGAAGTTACCTGAAGGCTGAAGTTTAGAGATAAAAGTAAACCATCACACACACCAATGCACGTTATCGAAAATAAGCATTTATTCTCACACAGAGGATTGTTATTAACAGAAGTGAAGAATAGAGCAAAGTTAATAACTTGTCAACAATAAAACTTAAGTTCAGGGATCAGGTGTATACCGTCGGCTGCATGAACACATATACCCACACGAGCACACACAAATACACACTCATGATCCCATAGAGGAAGGTTTGGAAGAGATGTACAAGAAATAAAGATTTAGTTAATATCTTGTCAACAACTGAACTCACCTAAAGTTCAGAGATTAAGTGTACACCATCATCTGCACCATCATTGCACCAATATTAATAAAAATTTTAAAATTTAAAAAAAAAAGAAGAAAAAAAGACAGAATATCACAGCATTATGAATCTATATGGAGCAGGAGTTACACCTATAGTAGGTCATACTTGTAGAATAAGACATGCTGAATTCAAAATTAATTTACAGAAGTTCAAAAAAGGACAGCCATGTAAACCCCAAAAGAAAATTAGAATATAAAATAAAAGTAACCAGACAGATGCCAGTTGGACCTTTTCAAGAGTTTTAGATATTGTAGTTAAACTCAAACAAGATATCCTTCTGTTTTGATTGCGAGGGAGGCAAACGTGGGAGACGGGATTGGAGTTCCGGCTTTGGATAGCATTCACTGTTACCACACAAAAAGAGGAAATAAATACTGCAGAAAGCAATTATCTGCAATAACTGAGAGAAATCTATGATGTGATAGAGTGGTCATTTCATTATCTAATGCAAAAACATTATCACTTCCATTAGATATAATTATTAAGAACGGAAATATGAGAACACATATGAATGCCAACAAATCGATGTCCCTGATGGCTCTATGAAACTTTACAATATATAGAAGATAACGGAAGTACACATACTCCAAAAACCAATTAACATGGGCAGAAATAACTTCTACTCCACATGAGAGCATCACTAATTAGCAATTACAAGTTACAAGTTACAACATGAAAGTTGGAATTTCAAAAACCTAACCTTTTTTCTCTTTCTAATTGCAACAACTGAGACATTGTTTCTTTATCTAACTTCAATCCTGCTATTTCTACCTCCTTGAATACATCCCTGCACTTAGCCAGCCTCCCAGAAACCACGTAAATTTTAATCATGTCTAAATATACATCATATGTTGGAGAGAAACCTGCTTCCTTAAGCTTTGAGAAATATCTTACTGCCCTTGGATGATCATTCAGGGCAACAAAAAGCTTTACTGCCACACGATAAGCTGGAAAATCAAAGAGACAATTTGAAGCCTCCATTTCCCAAACCAAAGCTAGAGCCTCCCTGTATTTCTTCTGCGAATAGCGACTATGAATCAGAGTTGTGTACATAACGACACTTGGATCATGCCCAGATTGTCTAAACCAGTCATAAACACTCTCCACAACTTCAAATTTCCCAAGCCTAATGCACACTTTCATAATAGCAGTACAATCCTGCTGACTTAAATTCATGTCTTCCCTTTCTCCAAGCTCGTCGAGTAAGGTCATTACAAGCCTGTGCTTATCGGGGTTCTTCCCAAGCTTGAGTATCAGCTTAGCATATAAGCCCGGATCCAACTTTCTTCCACTATTCTTAGCTACCAATACAAGCTTCCAAGCTAGATGCAAGCTTCCTCCTTTAATGAACCCTCTCGCCATTGCCTCAATCACTCCACGACTTGCCAAACTAGCAAACTTGTCCAAATTGAAAGGCAGTTTAAGCTCGTGGTGCCTTGCCAGGACCTCAACCGTTGAAGCCAAAAGGCGGTCATCGGGGAAGAGTTGAGGCTGTTTCTGAGCCCAAGAGAAGGTCTGCAGAGCTCTCTCAGGGAGACCCATGTGACCCAATTCCCTAATTGTCATGGAAAGAGAGCCTTTTCTAAGACACTGAATCCAATTGTTCAGAACTCGTCCCGCGTCTTCGTCTGCTCCAAGGCTTCTGATTTCCCTTGCTAACCCAACAAGCGCATTAGGGTTTTTGTAGACTTGGTCGCATACGGGCGGCACCTTAACATGTTTCTTGGGCGTGGGAAGTCCCAAAGGTCGAAGCTTGTGAGGAAGTGGGAGCGGGAAAGGCCTCTGTCGATTCAGCATTCCGGGCTTCTGGGGTATTCTCCCTTGGAAAAGGGATGAAATAGCTTCGATCTCATCTGATTCCCACGCAATGACGCCATCTTCTTTACCTTCTTCATCTGCTGCTGCTGCCTCGAATTCTTCTGTTCGAGATGAAGGTTCTGTGGAAGTGCTTGTGTTGTTCAAGAAGGGGTCGATTCCAAGGAGGTCCGGAGGAAGCTTGGTGCGCCGCGGGTAGCGAAGGTTCTTGGGAAGTCGTGTCCTAGTGTTAGAACGCTGCGCCACTGTAACCAGCCGGCGGCCATTTCTTGCAAAACTTTGAGGGAACAAAAAGGGAATTGTAGCGGACAATAGAGAATCCATTGAATGAAAACTATGACCCATGATTACAGAAGTGACATTTCCTCGAACACTTGGTCTGCACTAGCCATGTAGAGAGAAAATAGACGCAATGCTCGTACAGAGAGCCTTATTCGTACGGATATAAAGGAAATATAAAGGTTGGCCCTTAATTTAATGGAAAACTAACCAAAACCCCTAAAAAACTTTGGAAAACTAACCAAAACACCCTCAAAACTTTACTTTCAATCATAAGAACAGATTTTTTCAAAAATACCAATCCTACCCTTCACACATATGTACAAGATTGGGTCAGTTTTCTGCAAAGTTCAAGTGGATACATCCAAAAGAAGAAAAATGAGATTGACATTTTCAGAAAACATTTGCATGCAAAAGAATATGTGGCAAACATGCAACAACCAAGACAATACAGATTCACATGCAAAAGAAAATATGGCAAACACTGCAGCAACCAAGACAACATAAATTCACATGACATTCAAGCAAAGACAAGATAGCCAGCTTTCAGAGACAGTGCTGACAGTTTTCAGAAACAGTGTGCTGTCACTATTCAGAAAATTGTAAATAGATGAAATGTTATTTTGTCTTTGAAGAATTAGATTTTGTATATAAGGGAGTCTTTCCTCCCATACAGAACACGTTTTCTCAACATCTGAAAACATCATACTCACTTCATACACTCAAGCATTCGTAGCCTTCATAGCATCCTTGTAAACACTTTTTTGTAATCACTTTCTTGTAAACAACCATCTCTGTAAACATTCCATATATCAATAAAAGTTCAAGTGTACATATTCAAGCAATCTCCAAGTCTTAAGTAAGTTTTCTTTTCCTTCTTTAGTGTGTTTGTTTAATTAGACTTCTAGTCCAAAACAGGAAACACTATTGTTGTTATATTATTAACCTGTTAAACCGACGATCATACTTTGTTCGAGCACTCTGTTATAGTTGAATGTTTGCCATACAAATAACTGGACATCAACCAGGTACCTCTGAGTTCTTCGTACCTCTGAGTTCAGCCGTTAAGGCCTTATACTTGTACTGTGAGTGGCTGTCATGCTAAAACATGTCGAGTTCCATGTGCAAGGTTCTATGTCTAGTTGTTATAATGGTCATCTGACTATTTAACCGAGCATGCGTTGCGAATTTGGTATCAGAGCCTAATTTAACATTTTAATAATATAATTATAATAGTAAAGTACCTTGAGGATAGAAGTCGTAGATACAACTGATATCATATTTGTTTATTGTATATGAACAACAGATATTATTGTCCCTGTAGACCCTGTCAACCACAATTACCAGGTATTTATTGTCTCAGACATCCAACTATAACTAGCATAAAGAGAAGATTAGCATATATATCCAAAAGAATTATTAGTACTTTGAAGAAGCAAAAGTTTTATCTTGGATATCTTGAACATTCTTCATTTATTCGTAAATATAATAACACATAATTGCAGCATAAAGTTTTAGAAGCAAAAAGAATAACAGATCAAGTTTTAGAGACACTGAGAGAAGAAAAAGAGTTTTTAAGAAACCAGTTAGCCGTAACCCTAGAGAAAGGTAGACTATAGTTTATGATAGATTATCTTAATTTAGAAATTAGTGAACCTCAAAAAAGAAAAATAACTTTAGACCAAAATAGTTTAGTTTGTTATTTTCCATCAAGAAAGCATAATCATATTTTGCACAGTGAAGAAAATTCACAAGCCAATACTATTGTAGATCTTATTATTAGTCAAGCAGAAAATATAAAATTAGAAAATAATAAGCATAATCATTTGTTAAATCAGTTGTTAGAACATTTCTAGAAAAACTTCATATAAATAATTAGACAAAATTTAGACTATATTACATCTCAGTTAGAAGATAATAATAGAAATATTCAAAGGTTTCCTAGCAAAAGAGAGATAAAAGAGCTTGTTGATCTTATAGATAGTAAGCCGAAGCAAGTAGAACTTAGATCATTAGAAATAGTTGAACAGCTAAAATCAGAAGTTCAAAAAATTCAATTAGTACAAAAAGAGTTAAGTGAACAAGTAGATAAGTTGCATAATAAAATAGATAAGTTATTAGTTTAATGACAGATTCTAGAACTAGCAAAAAATATATTCAAGCTTTGAAATAAATTAGTAAATTAGATAAAGAACCAGTAGGATTAACAGATTTTTCAACACAAGTATCCAGTAGTAATATTCCCATTAGACAAAATAATTTGATTATCCAATTAGTTTTAAGTTTAGCTGAAAAATTAGATCAAGTTGAAGAACAAATAGCAGAAATAAACCAAGTTCTACATAACGCATCTTCATCACTTCCACCATCTTTGCTAGATAAATTAGAAAATTTAACTTTGAGTGCAAATAATAATAGAAGACCTAAGCTAAATCCTTTTGATAATAGAAAATGGAACTCTTTAGGAAAAAAGGAAAAGAAATAGTTAGAGCAGAAGATATTTATCCAAATGAAGAAGAAGCACAAGAATTCATTCGAAGAGGTTTGAGAGAACACAGAAAAATAAATATAACTTGTATCAATTAGGTTTATTTGAAAACAGAAGTAGAATTGTAAGCAGCATCAGTCAACATGAAGTTAGCTGTATTGATAAAGAAGTCACACTTAATCTAATTAGTAAAGAAACAGTTACTCATTTGAGAAAATCACATTTTAGTCAGATTCATATAGGAACAATATTAATTGGAATAGCAGGATTAACCAGAGCACAAGTAGGTACAAAAGCTTTAGTATACATATATGATGATAGATGGGATAATCACCAACAAACAGCAATAGCAACAGCTGAAGTAGACTTAAGTTCAAACTTAGCAGTTATAGGTTGTATTCCAAATTATGTTATGACGATTAATGAATTTAGTAAATATATTAAAGTGAGCATAAGAACAAAAAATTATAATATGAAAGGAGAGTATAAAAATTTGTGTATTAGCCTAATGTATATAGGTAAAGTGTCTGATAGATATAATCATAAGTTTAATTTAGATTTTCAAAATTTAGTTCAAACATTTGGCAGTAAATATGTAAATATGATAGAAGCAAAACCCGTAGATAATAGCCTTTTAGAAGGAACTCAATGGACATTGCCTAATTTACAAGTAACACCAAATAGACAACCAGATAAAGTACAAATATATGAAACTAGTACAGGTCAAGCAACAATTATGTTTAGTAATTATAAGCAACTAGAAAAAATAGAAGAGGATGAGAGTTAAATTGAAAATGAAAGTATACATATGGCTTTTGATAATTTAGATATTAATTTGGTTGAACAAAATTTTGACTATATTGTAGATAAACTTATAGAAGATATTGATCATTTAGATGAAGAACAATATTTGGAAAATATAAGACATATGATTTAGGACTACATAAAATTTCAGACAAAGAAATGAAAATTATAATCTTAGAAATAGGAGTAGAACACATTTTAGTATCAAAAGAATATAATAATTTATTAGAATTGAAAGCAGAATGTAATCCAGCAGAAGAAAGTAGTACATCAGGCGTAGAAAATCCAGGACACGCAAGCAGAACCGATCAACAATTTTTAAGACCAACAAATGAACAATATAATGAAAAAGCAAAAGTAGACTATATGGAAGAAAGTATGATAAAACCTAGAAAAAATAGGATTCCATATTTGAGAGGGTTAGAACAAATTAATATAGCTGGTAATATATTAAATTTAGATAATGTAGATCCACAAGATTGGGAAAGAACGATTGAGAGATGGGAAAAAGGCTACATACATGCAGCATTAATGTTAGATTTTAGTAATTCACAAAACATGTTAGATTACTTTGAACATACTTTGGATGGTTTAGTTTTTGATTATTTCCAGTCATGGAAAGTTCAAAATCTAGAACAACATCAGGCAGCTAAAACACATTTTAATATTGATGGTTTTGTTACTTTGATTAAACAAGAGTTTTTAAATCATAATAGGTTAGATGGCAGAAGTGAACAAGAACAAATAAGAGCAATCAGAAATTTAGAACAATTACAAATTTGCGATTTACAGTATATAGCTGAGTATACCATAGATTTCTTTAAATATTTAGGAAGAACAGATAGAATTAGTGATATTAATTTATTAGATACTTATATGACAAAAATAAAAGGACCAATAGGTGAAAAGATTTGGAATGAATGACAAAAGCATTCGAAGAAAAATGATATTGCTATAGGACCTAGAATTCAACATATATATGATATACTTAGACAAGAGTATAGTCAAATAAAGGCTAAGAGACAAATCAGGAAGCAATTTTACATGAGTTGTAAAAATATAGATTTACCACAACAGTATGGTTGCCATAAGAAAAATAAGCATAAGAAAATATACAAAAAGAAATATAAGTCATATAAACCCTACAAACAACATAAGAATTTCAGTATAAGACCTTCAAGAACATATAGGAAGAGAAAATATAGTCCAAAACAATTTAGAAAAAGAAGGGGCAGACCTTAGATTAGGAATATAAAGCACCAAAAGATAAGAGTAGTTGTAAATGTTATTCATGTGGAGAAGCTGGACATATTAGACCTAAATGTCCAAAATTAGGTAAACAGTCGAAAGAAAAAGTACATTTGATGGAGTTGTTTAAGTTAGAAGAAGATGAGGATATTCAGTCAATATACAGTTTAGATAATTTAAGTGATAATGAGAGTATTTATAGTATAGAGAGTATTAACATGATAGATACAGATTCGGAAGATTCAAGTAGCACAAATAGTGATCTAGAAGAATATATGTGTGCATTCATAGAAGAACAGCATGAAGAAGAATATAAATACATTAATTTAGGTTGGCCAGAAAAATGTCATAAGTGTAATAAATTAGGTGCAAATAAATACTACAATACATACTCAATATTATGTGAAAAATGTTATAGTAATAGGTTATTAGAAGTTAATTCAGCAGAATCTGAAATATTAGGAAATATTGTTCATAGTATAGAAAAACCAAATAGTAGTTCCTTAATTACTATAAATTGCAAAATAGAATTAGCAAAAGAACATAAGATACAAACCATAGCTATGATAGATACAGGAAGTACAAAGAGTGTTATAAGAGAAGAATTAGTACCAGAAAAATAGAGACAAAAATTAGCAAAACCAGTAAGAATAAC